TTGACTTTATTTCAAGACATGTTGTCTATGCACCAGCGAAAATTAATGTATATGCAGCAGATGGTTTTCCTTCTCTTAGTGATGCTATTATCAGCGATGACTCAAGTGAAATCGCTAATCAAATAGCGATAGCAACGTATTTTGTGCGTGGTGCATTATCTACACTGAAAGAGTTTAATAATTTTTTTTCATAATTTTCTTTCGCGTATTAAACGACACGTAGAAATAGAATTAAAAAGAACTAGTGTATTGATCATTGCATTCGATTACAATAAAATGATGGCTAGTATTCATTTGAGAAAGTACTATGGTCTATTGTATTCTGAATGCTTGTTATGCAAGCATCATAGAGACGTGAAATTTTCACCATTCAACACAGAATACTCAGGGCCATCATATGATATAACAACTTCATTGATCATCCATTGCTCTATCAAACGAGTTCTTGGTGCAAATTTTCGAAAACTTAGTTGTGAAGGTATTTCCAATTCGATATGTAGGGATGATATTTCTAGGTTGTTTTGTTCGAGAGCTATAAGACTTCTGGTGACATCCTTGATTTTTAAAAATTGACTCGTGATCACCCGAAAAAAGAGGTTAACATTCGTTACTCACTATACAGATTGTAGTAGTGGTATCTGTTTTTTGATTGAAATTGATCTAACGGCCCTATGTCAATATTTCTGAAACTCCACAGTCAGCTTCCATTGTTGAAGGAGTCAACACTTCAGGAAAAATGGATAAAGAGTCTCAAAATAGTTCAAAACTATAAAGAAATATCATTGTTGGACTTAGCAAGGTGAATTAACTTTGCCTAGTTGCATTTGGCAGACGTCGCAAATCAATTAGCTGAGATTGGGGTCTTAACAAATGTGTTATAACTCTCGAATGGAACAACCTATGAATATTGAACGTACATAGATTGAAAAAAGGACCGCCAAGAATTCTTCTGATTGATCAGTTTTTGGTGAATCGAGTTTTGATATGCTTCTATGATGTTGAGTCATCTCTCAAGAATGATGAAAACGGGACACTACTTTACCTGCACGATTCAAAGATATATGGAATAGATCATAATAATTCTAAAGTTTTGGTATTCGAATGAAATTTACTACTGGAAATATAAAGTTTAATTGTTCACGGGAACGAGAACGTTCCACAAAGAAATGAGTGTAAAAGAAGCGAAGCTCTATTTCGTATACTTAAGTTAAGCAAACTTTCATAACCAAAAAAACGTAATTCAATAATCATGGTGTATCTAGTGATAAGGTATTTGATATCTGTCTCTTGAAGAATCATCACTAACTTTCAATATAAAGAGACATACATTTCATACAATAATATATATAATATTTTTTCCTCAAAGTGTTTCATCTTCAACAACTTCATTTCATTCTTGCGTACTCCTCTAGATACTCCAATCATTAATAATGCCAATAAAAATCAATCAGAACGTATAGTTTCATGCACTATAACGACATTTATTTTGTTTTTGACGTTGCAACATTTTCAGCGGCTTTACCAACTCATATGTCAGTATAGAAAAGGTGTGAACTTATTCACACAGAAAAAATATTTGCTTTTCTGTATAAATCATCGCTCTATACTACATCCATTGCAAAACGGATGCTGAATTGATCTCACAATGAGCGTGAAAAAAACTCATGTCTAATCTTTTCCGAGTGTTGAAAGAACAAAGAAAGAAACAGAAGAGAAAGATAAGAAACAAAATAATATGAAAAAGCTAATCAAAATATCATTCCGATAGGACAGACACTAAATTTCACTGACTGACATTCATAAACCACAAGTATACGCATTGAATAATAAAACTAAAGGACAATAACAAGATAATTCAAGACAAGCCCTTTGGAATTATGAATTCTAAGGTAAGAGATGATAAGCTTATCCGCTTCTGAAGATAATTATTGAAAGATATCTAGTTTTTGGTTATTGGTGTCGTGGTTGTAACAGCACTCGCTCTTGGACTTGGTATCATCATTGGCCATTTCGCTATTACTAAACCAACTCACAACACGTCTTGGAAGCATGATCGTCTTACTAAATCAGCTGATCAACGAAATTATCAAACATTCATTGACTCTATACAAGCAACGAACATTGAAATCAATCTTAAGTAATCGTCATTTCACTTTCATTTCAACAAAAATATCTATAGAATATTAAATCATATAGAGATCTCACTTCACGTCCTCATCTAGCTGGTCTACCTGAAGATTTAGAAAGTGCTCAAGTCATCGAACAACGATGGATAACTGATGGTTTAAAAGTAACGAAACCAAAATATAATGTTCTTCTTTCTTATCCTGATGATAATAATCCTAATCGGTAAATGGACAACTCAATAAATATCTTTAACTTCTGTTATATATCTTTTCAGAGTTACTCTCACCAATAGTGATGGCACGCTCATTTTTCAAACAGCTGGAGTTGAACATGTCTATGATACAACACAACCAAAAACAGTTAATCCATTTATTGCTTATACACCTAATGGAACTGTCTCTAGTGTAAGTTATCAATGAATATCAATAATTCATTTCATGTTGAATAATATATAGAGTAAACTGTACTATGCTAACTATGGT